TTCTCTAAACAGAGATTATTTTTTCAAGCCCCCATGTTGATTGCTGCCAAGAAAGGCGACAGTTTTATGGCACCGCCTTATCGTCAGCGAAACACAGGCTTTTAATTATTTTTATGAAGCAGGTTTATCTTGCTGCATTCAACAAAAACTCCCTGTTGGCTTTTCCTTTTGATTATAATCCAAATCAATGTGCAGCAAGGATTTCCCCTTGGAAAAAAATAACTACAACCTAGAATCATATAAACCAGAATGATTTAATCATTCTGACATTTTGACATTCTCTTGTTCAAGTGGCTATTCCAAGCAATTTTGGTAAAACAGGCTTGCTCTTTCCCTCCATGGAAATAAACAATGTGGTCTAAAGAACCCAAAGAGACCCTGCCCCTGAGCTGGTCACTGCATCATACACATGCACCTATTTTTTGGAGTGTAAGCACTGCAGTTGTAAAGGTAAAGGTAAAGGGACCCCTGACCGTTAGGTCCAGTCGCAGACGACTCTGGGGTTGCGGCGCTCATCTCGCTTTACTGGCCAAGGAAGCCAGCGTACAGCTTCTGTGTCATGTGGCCAGCATGACTAAGCTGCTTCTAGTGAACCAGAGCAGCGCACGGAAACACTGTTTACCTTCCCGCCGGAGCTGGCAAACAAGTAGCAGTAGCGCAAATCAAGAACAGTATTTCTGAACTGTATTAGAGCAAGATGGTAAGACTAGGAATTCTCCATGCAAATACCTGTTCTGTTCGCAAAGCTCAAATTTAGGGATAATGAAGAAGAGGAAGTGGGTTGCATCAAGCAGACATTTACAAGTTACACTTTGATACAGGAGATCCATGATTAAGATATCCCACAGCTTTTTCTTTTTTACAGATCAAAGCAGGACTATAGGGTGGGGGAGGTGTTGATTGAGATAAAGATTTTCTCCACATCAGGGAAATAACATTTGTACAAGATGCTTAAAACCAATAGCAAAACCACAATCTGTTAAGCTATTTTTAATCAACCCTCCCAAAAGCTGCTCTGTCTCCCATGGGGGAAAGCATGCAAACACCATTCAAGTACCTGTATGTTTTTCTCCCCATATAGGACAAATAACAGCTTTGGGAGTGGAATTTGGTTTAGGAAAACAGCATGGGGTTAAACATTATCACCTAATCCAATTCTCCTCATTCCCTTTAGTTTAAAAAATAAAAAAGCAGGAAATTCTGATATTCTTCACCACCTGGTTTGGTTCAAAGACTTCTGCTCTGAAAACAGACTTTTCTCTAGTGGTAGGGAATCCCATAATTGCTTATGACACCTAATTGCTTATGACATTCAAATAATACTCGCATAAGTAACTGATTGATTCTTTGAATAGGCCACTCAGATGGAGCCACTGAGTCACTTCCTTGTTTGGCTACTAGCTTAGATAGAAACTGGATCAAACTCAGGAAGTGTACTTTTGACTCAGGTAAAAATAAAGGTGTCAGCTGCTGACTGCCAGCAGCTCAGGTGGTATATCAGGTTGTTTTCTTGCAAATGCTGGTAGGATTACAGCAAAGCACTCTCCATGTGTCAGCTCACATCAACTCCAATTACAGTGTCATTCTGTTGCCAATGGAATACTTAGCCTTAGTTGTGTGTGCAAGTAAACATTTATCATTGTTTTAGAGGCACTTTGTTTAAAGGGAACTGAGGGTTGTGATCTCTTTTTATGGACACAGGAGACTCTGTGCCTTAAACTGTGGCATGAGAGGCAAAAATCAACAAGGGATAGTTTTCCCTTCTTTGTACCTATTTCCATGCTGGGAAAATCTGCCTTTACCTGCTTATTTATTCCTGCATGCAGCTAAAGGTACAGAGTATAATAGCATAAGAAGAGCCTACTGGATCAGGCCAATGGCCGATCAAGTCCAGCATCCTGTTCTCAATGTGGTCCACCAAACACCTATGGGAAACTCCCAAGAAGGACCCAAGCACTTTCTCCTGAGGTCTGCAACTGGTGTTCAGAAGCATTACTGCCTCTGATTGTGGAAACAGAGCATAGGCATCTTGGCTAGTAGCTCTTAATAGGCTTATCCTCCATGAATTTGCCTAAACCTCTTTTAAAGCCATCTTAATTGGTGGCCATCAGTGCCTCCTGGGGTAGTGCTGCATGAAAAAGTACTTTCTCTTATCTGTCCTGAATTTTTCCGAATCTTCCAACGTTCAGCCTCATTGGATGTGCATGAGTTCCAGTGTAATGAGAGAGGGAGAAAAACTTTTCTCTATTTAATTTTCCCATGCCATGCATCATTTTATGCACTTCTATCATGTTACGTCTTATTTGACTTTTCTCAGAAATAAAAAGTCCCCAGGGCAGGAAACGAGATGCCAAACCATGTCAGTATTCAAATATGGGCCAAAATGTTCTTAATGTTCTTAACTGGAACAACTGTGTATCATCTGAACAATTTCAGACCTATATACTTTTCCCTGGGGACTTCTCAGAGCAATCATTTTGTAACTTACAGAGCAGTTTGAATTTTCTGCTGCTTCTGGCTCTGCAGAGCAACGGAGCTAGTGTCCCATGCACAGCCTGGCCACTCAGTGGTGAAAAGGGTGGGAGGGAAGACAGATTGGAGCCAATCCCTGTGTCAGCTCCAGGCTGGGATTGGTTCCTACATTAGCCAGCACCAGTTGTGGCAACAACTTAGTTCTAGCAGATCTCAGGGCAACCCAGGCTCACCCTCGGACCATGCTATTTTGGGGCTTCTTCTTTGCAGGAATATTGCTAGTGCAATTTCCATCTGCTTTCCTGTTTGAAGACTGAAAGGAATGGGAGATCTGCACCAGTGGAAATGCAGCTGAGCTGGCAGAAGTGAGCGGAAGGATGCCTCTGCTCAATCCAAGCACCCCACAGTCAGTGTAAGGGAGTTTGGATTGCAGCTTTAATCTCTCATGGTACTGAAGGATCTGTACTATTGGTTTGTTTTTTCCTTGTGAGGCTTTTAAAAAGCTGTTAGTGATATTAAACAAAACTGAAAGCCAGCAATATCTGTGCCATAAATAGAACAAGCAGGGGCTCGCTCCAAAGGGGGAAAATTGATGATATTTTACTTTAAAATGCTAGTGGAGTGAAAGACCAATGGGAACACGACATAGGGTATGAAATAAACCCAACCCAATGGTCGAAACTGTGCACTAACCCACCCGTTAAACCCTTCTCAGGCAAGAGGAGGGAATTCACTTTGAAACTTATCTACAGATAGTACCTAACACCACTGGCAGAGGAACGGGGGGCTGGGGGGAGCGCACTGCCCCCAGCACCATCGGGGAGGGGGGTATCATCACAGCTGCTCCCCGGACACGCACCGTGCACCCCCACCATGCTGGGCGCCACGCCCTCGCATGCGGCATGCCATGCCCCCAGGACGCACGCCACACCCCCATGTGCAGCGTACCACGCCCCCAGGAGTGCTATGCCACGTCCTCACCTGGTCTCCGCCCCTCATGCTGTAGCATGCCACTTTGCCACTGCCTAACACCACATAAGGTGGCAGTGATGCACCCAGGAACTTCACCTAGGTTCTGGAGAGGCTGCACCACCATGAGAACACACCTCCACATGTGGTGGGAATGCCCTAAAATTCAATCCTTTTGGGTATCAGTCTTACAAGAAATCTGCAAAACAACAAAACAAGTAATAGAAGCAACTCTAGAATAGTCCATACTAAATATTTCCCAAGGCAATAATGCACACTTACATGACAGATAACTCATAAGTCACATGCTCTCAGCAGCTAGGAGTGTCATAACTAGACACTGGAGGGAACTATCAGGAGTGTCCATGGATCACTGGTACCAAAGTGTATGGAAAACCACCCTACTAGAAAAGCTAACAAACTGAAACTATCACAAAGACAAATAAAGGAAGGTGCCTTCACCCCAGCATGGCTCCCTTTTATTACATACACAGGCCAACAAGACAGTGACTGATCCTCCCCGACATCATATGAATCAATATGGCTAAATTAACCCAGCAACGCCTCCATGTCACACACATCAACAAAACACACTGCAACCAATCAACTGCAACCAACCACACCCTGGCTCCTGTGATCTCTTACTCTGCCAGCAAAAATAAGACACCTATCCACGTGATGCTGACAAAAAAAATGTGCCACTCATATACTATATGTAAAGAATGAAAGCTTAATGTCTCCCTCACCTACCTCGCTCTTTCCCCTTCCCCCCTCCACCTCTCTTTCCCCTTTCACAAAAAGTGTTTCAAATTGACTGTAATTTACTTGTATGAAGGATTCTTCAATTTGAAAACAGACACTGAATGTACTTTTATTGCTTTAGAAAATATAATAATAATAATCTAGTGGAGTGGATCTATATTCACTGTCCAGTGCTTGGGGCTGCTAATGTGAAGATAGCACTTGTTTAACATAATGGGAAGAAAACTAAGGCTACAGTACTATGCTCAACTTGTGCATATCTTTCAATAAATGCTTTCATGGATGAATTTTTAATTGTATTTTAACTGCAATTTGTCACATGTGTATAAACTATCCTGTACTGTGAGACTGCACACCTAAGTACACTTAGTATGCAAAATATCATATTGACCTCAGATTTACTTCCAAGTAAGCAAGTACTAGATTGGATTACACTAGATTTCACAATTTGGTGCTCTACAGATGTTTTGGTAACAACTTACAGAAGCCTCCGTAGTGATTTGGGGTGGAAATTTTTAGAGTGCTGAATTTTCCTGTGGAATTTTTCCCATTTCATACATTCATTAGTAACAATGGACAGACACAAACTGCAAATACATTAGGCAAGTTTGGCAGTTTCCACGTTTTTAACCTTGTCTGCTAAATACAAGTAACTTAAACATGCTAGATTAGACCACTTCCTGTGGTTTCTGATACCAGATTTTTTCTGATGCAAACTGAGAATTTTTCAGTGCAAAAGTTCCCTTTACATAATAGCCTAATTTGCACCAATGTTTTTTTTTTGTTGTTGTTTTTTTGGAAAGCCCACATAACTGGGCCCCAGCTGACAGGGCCAATAGTCAGGGTGAAGAGAGTTGGGAGTCCAAAAACATCTGAAGGGAAGGCTGCATTAAACAACTGCAACATATATGCAACCCTGCCTCTTGTTATTATCATCACATAAGATGGTGACTTCATATGCAAGTGTTAGCAGCTAATTATGTAGCTAGTAATATAGAGTACTATGGCTATGCTGACCTATGCCATTCAACAAGTCATTGTCTCTTTTTACTAAACAAATGTAAATTTGCCCTTGTTTTGTTAAACTAGGTTAAATGTACTACCCTAGAGTTCCTGGAATGCATTGCAGTTTCTAGCAATAAGAGGAGGAAGAATGAGAAATGGATTTGATCCAGCTCTGATTAATGCAAGGGCAAATATTTGCCATGACTTATTGCAGGAGTATGGGGTGGAACTGGATTAGGTAATTCAGTCTGAGATAGAGACAAAGCTAAGACTATAACATTAATATCCCAACTGTAAACATACATTATGGGAAGTATAAAGTCCCACTAATTTCAGTGGAACATCCAACCAAGATTTTTTTGGAATGAATCTCAGTGGAGCTTGCACATGCAAAGTTTATATGTCACCGAATAACAACACTTTTGCCACGGTGTGTTTACCTGCCCCATGCCCGACCATGTATGACACCAGGCATGGGATGGGTGGTTGTGGCTTGGGGAGCACAGCCCCTCCAGACCGAAATAGGACTCCTGCCAATTAGGCCCATGGAAAGCTCCCTACTTCTGTTATATTCTTTCTGCTGAGTCACTTATGAAAATAACTTCAAAACCTTCGAACAAGGAAGTGCAGATTCCTGATTCAACCTACCAAGTGGATCTGCCGGTGCTGTAGAGCCAGGATTCCTGGTGCGAGAGGTAGCCTCATTTGTCACCAGGTAATTAAGAGTCCCAAACTCCCAACGAAGTGGCCTTGGAAGAGGTAAGCGCTGGCTTTGATCAGGTGTTTGTTTACCTAAAAGCTATGGGGAAAGACCCAGGAAAACTTGGCAATGCTCTGGATGCAACGTGATTGGCCTCAGGGGAAAGCTCTCCTAGAGCTAGGGAACGATTCCAAAGCCCGCCTTCTGCCACGGATATCGATTTCAAAAAGAAACGCAAGCTCGTCTTCCTCCAAACTTTGCGAATCTGCTGGTTGGCAGCGGAAGGGGAGCCAACGGCGCTTCCTGCTCTCCCCCGCTACTCTGTTGTACTTCTGCCCATACCTGGCATAGCGGGGGGCGGGGCGGAGCCCGGGGCTGGGGAGGCGGGGCTGGCCAATGGGAGGAGCGCGAGCCGGGCGCTCCGGGCCGGTGCGCTGAGGCGAGGCTGCAGGTTGCGGAGACCAAGCGAAGCGTCGCATTTCTTCTGCCAGGAGCTCAGCTGGGAGAGGTATGTGTGCGCGCGCGCGCCGTGCCAGCCGAGGCTCCTAGTGCGTCCGCCGAGAGGGAAGGCAGGCGCGAGCGAGCGAGCGAGCCAGCAACTTGCTGCAACCCTCGCGGGGGGCCGCGGCCGTGAGGGGCGCTTTACGAAACCCGGAGCCAGAAGAGGGAAGCGGAATGCTGCACGACGACACCGAGGGGCCAGCTCGCCCACTGGAGGGGAGCGGGTGACCTTGCGCCGCGGGAGGCAGCAGTAGTTCTGCCAGCGCCGAGAGAAGGCGGAAAGAAGCCGCACAGCCGCCGCCGCCGCCGCCGGAGGGGCTGGACTCGGGAAAGAGGATTTGCTCGGCTGTTTCTGTCCCGGCTTAAGCGAGCGGAGACTCGGCCAGGTAAGGGAGTATGCGCGCCATGGACTCTCGGGTCGCTCTTTCTCCCTGCCACCCACACGGACACCGTTTCCGTGTTGTCCCGTGCGATTTACCTGCCTTCTGCCTTTACTTTTGGAGCCCCAGAACCCCGCTTCTCTCCAGTCCCGCCGCCGCTTCACACAATTCTACCCCGCTCCGCCCGCTTCCCTCGCGGGAGCCGCAACAGATGCCTCTTTTCTCCCGCTGGGTCGCTGGGAACGTCTCTCGCTCTCCCTTGGTTTCCTCGGACCTCTGTATTGTGGGCCCCCTCCTGCGCTGGGCAGCGCCTTCCACAAGTTGGGAGTCACCCGCTGGGCGAATCACCCGGCACTTTTATTTCCCCCTGCTGGTCCCCTACTGGGGGAGGATGGGGCCACCTCGCGATCTGTCTCCCGTTTCCATTCCTTGGGGAAAATCCACTCGCTCGCAGCCTTCGGCGGAGCGGCTTAGCCTGTTCAACCTGCTCGCGTCTCTTCGCTTCGGCCCCCGAGAGTCGCACATATTTGAGGACCGAGTCTCTGGCTCCGCCGTTTGCCTATTGGCTCCTGGGCTTTTCAGAAGATGCTCAGCCTGCCGTAAAATCAGATTATATGGCCTTGCGGGCTTAATTCTTCTGGCGGCGCGGCGGGATGGGCTTCCCTCTCCCTATGTAAAGTTAGTTGATTTTTTTTCCACCCCCCAAACCGTGAGAAGATCTCATTGCGATGTTGAAACTGAAGCACGCATTGGCCGTTGAAGCTTGAACCGCAAGCACCCACCAAATGCGCCGCAATGTATTGTGATTTACAGTCAGCTGAGGCTCAGCTATGCATACGTGTTCCTTGTTGCGCTTGATTTATAAGCATGTGGCCTCTTCCTTGAACTCTGCTGTTTGACCCACCCTACCCCTAAGGCTCAGAGCATGTATCAACAGCTATAAAAAAAGAAACCAGTCTGTGAATGCATGTGAGCTGTACCAGAAACCTCTTATCAGTAAACGTGCATAACAGTAGGCTAGAAGACTGCAATCCTCTGTACTTATTTGGAAGTACAGTGTTTAAGACTTTGGTGCAATATTTTCTCCTCCTGCTTTCTTCTGAAAATGTAATTGTTTTCCCCCCAATACAGTTCTCTATCTGCTCAAGAACATCTTGTATTAGAAACATTTTACTGTACCAAGCAACTATCAAAGTGACTGGTAGGAGGCGAGGATGAGTAGGCACAGGTGGCACCAACAGTGCAGCAGACTTCGTTTTAATTGCACTTGTTGTGTTTACACTTAGCCTGGCAACAGGTTTTCTGCTTTTCCGCGCGGCTCCATCTAAAGTTAAGGAGATGAAACAAACAGCCTTTTCATTATGTAACTTTATACACTTCTCTGCATTAATAAATTCCTTTGCAACCAATGCTGAACTGCCATGCCAGTTGCTTTGCATTTGCTTTGACTTTCAGACATAATAAACTGAGAGTAGAAGGAATGCATCTTGTAGAGCTTGGCTAACGATGTAATATTTGCGACTTTTCAACAGAGACCAATTTGCATGTGCTTCCCTTTTCCTGATGCAGACATGCAGCAGCTTCACTAGTCAGTCCAAAGAGTAGAATAAGCACCTTTAGAAGTGATACTTATAAGCAGATTCTCTGGATAAGGTAAACATGTGTGAATCAGCCATAAACTGCTATGCCTGTTATGTAAATCTGGCTGCTCCCCTTGGGCTTGTCCTGTGATCAACCCCTTTCCCCATGCGACTTCCTGTATTAGGTGGCATTGTTAGATCATGGGACTCTGGGTTGGAACCCTCTGGGGGTTTGTGCGGAGTTTTGTTACTGACTTGGGTTGTGACCTTAGATTACTCTTCCGTTGACAAAAGCAAGGTAGTGTACATCAAAAGGATTCATTTGATTTACTCATGCACCTTATTGGGTTCTAATTATAATCACCCAGAAGAAAGAGGCTTGGCTGTTGCTATGAAAGGTTTGGTCAGTGAAAGCCTCAGTGCAACATGCAGTAGACATTTTAATTTAAAAAAAGCATGAAGGAAAGAATTAAAGTGATGCAGATACTATCCTGACCTTATGGAGATGAGAGATGAGTGAGTTCCAGGTGGGTAATGCACTGGAATGTATTCCAGAGCTCACCATATGTTGAGTTCTATGTGCACTGTTCAAACTCAAAAGACTACAGGATTCCTTGAGATATGGAAATCATAGGTATAGAGTTGTGGCGCTGGCTGCATCAGGGGCAAAACTAGGGTTTATTTCACCCAGGTCAAAGACCCAGTTTGGCACCCCCATGCACACACAGGCTGGAAGCCTCAACGGTGCCTCCCTGGAGGCTTCACCTGGGGCAAAAAAACCCAGCTACCCCTCCCAGCTATGGCTCTGGGCTGCATCACTGTCTAATGTACTACAAAGGCTATAGCAAAACTTCTCTCCAACTCCAGCTATCTAACAACACTGTTCAAGGATAGACAGTTGAAGTAAAAAGCCTAGAAGGCAATATGAGGCATATGCAATATGAAAGGATAAACCATGGCTACGACTTTCTTATTTTCTAATGTATAAGCGGAATCTAATGAAAAGGAATACTATCTTTAAATAATTTGTTGTATACATTGTATGTAGATTACTCAAAGCTGTAAGAAATTGCTGAATGAAAAGGCATTAAAATATATTCTGATTTGATAGTACAAACACTTAAACAGGGAATACCTTACATTGTTAGTCCTCCTTGTTTAAAGGAATTGTACAGTGGTACCTTGGTTTGCAACCGTTTTGGATTACGGATTACAACCATGTCAAACCCAGAAGTGTGTGTCCTTTTTTTTGGATTATAATCCTTTTTCTTTCTTTTGGATTACAACCCAAGTTTTTGGAGGCCCCATTGGCAAAAGCACGCCTTGGGTTACAGCCTGTTTTGGTCTACAACCGGACCTCCGGAATGGATTATGGCTGTAAACCAAGGTACCACTGTAATTCTATTTTTTATTACAACAGTTTGATAGCTATAATAGATATGGAGTTTATCTTTAACTGGTTTATACCAAAATGCTACACTGTAACTATGTGGCCTTTTTCATATGCTTCAGTCATGCTCAAGGAACAGGAAATTTTATGTCTAGACCAAGCCACAGCATGTATCAAAATGCTTTTATAAAATGTTTTGAAAAATACATTGAATTTTGCATAACTCACTGTCACCATCTAGTGTCACATTTGTATATTGCACTTTACAACAGATTTAAAATGTTTTATTTGCAGCTGTGTAGCTGAGTCCTTAGTGTTACTACCCCTCTACATGAGATTGGATTAGTGCGTGAGAAGAATTCTGATGGGGATTCACAAAAGGGAGCAACATGTGTTGGTGAATCCTTTTCAGTGACCACTGTGGGATGGATGTATTTACCTTGGCATGTTTAATGGAAGTCCTTATGGAATAAGACAGTAGTATCTGATAGACTGCCAGTATGGTCCAAGTCTATTTACTAATGGCAAAAAGCTACTCCAAGTTCACATAGATTTGCTTAATGCTGATGATATGTATCTCTGAAGTGGTGTGGGATTTAAGTGCCATCACAGCACATTCCTAACCATGTCTACTCAGAAGCAAGCCCTATTGAATGCAGGGGATTTAATCTCTGGTGAATAGGGTTAAGATTACTGAGCCTTTACTCAGAAGTAACTGAGGAAAGTAATTGTAGGATTCAGTCTTAATTACCGTTGAAACTACCACTTGACATGTGTCGCTAGAAAAATTAAGTTCCTTTAGAATGCTGTTAAAACTATTTGGCAATGTTACATAGGTTTCATTATGTACCGGTATATGTGCCTTCTTGACATTTGTAGGGTTTAAGTGCAGTTGAGCATTTAAGATGAGTGGTGCTCTGTGGGACTAGGCATGCTTAACATGCAAAGTATGTCTCATAATGAAAGTCCATAACAAAGCTATTACAGGACAGAGGTGAGAAAGCTTCTTTATTTCCCATCTGCACATGCACATACTGTTCATATTGAACCATTTGCTCAGAATTGTATTGACTTAACAATACCATTTTAAATTGGCTACTTTCTGATTGTAGAATATAGCAAAGTAAAAGATGAAGCTCCAGGATGTTGCCCTAGAATCTGTAACTGTTAGAATTCTCATTTATTTTGCTTAAAATATGAAGATATCCTTTGATGATTAATGAATATGGTGTAAATAGGCAAGCTCTCTTTCATTGCATATGCTTTGAGTACACTTTGTCATCATCAAGATTTGTGTGCCCACTACATCTGTAGTCCAAAAACTGTAGTTCTGACTAGCAGTTACTACTTACAATGTTTGGGATATGTAGAGGTGTGGGAGAGAAGCATGTGTGTGCACTTGGTGTCATGTTGAAGGTAGTCCTTGCATCTCAAAAGATTGCTGTTAAATATATCGGATTAGAACAATTGATTTCTTTGCTTATCTGGATGTTATACGTGTTTGGCTCTTGTGAGTTTTCTCTTATGCTTCAGTGAGAAATAGGAGAAGGGAGATAAGGATTTCACTTCAATGAAATATGTGGGAGTAGCTTGGATATGCTGCCCAGTCACAATACATTAATTATGATCTTCAGGTTGTAGCTGACTGTTTAATTCCTGATATACCAAAAAGTAGAGGTTTGTTTCCTTTTCCCATGGAACAAAACCAGCATGCCTCGCTCCTGATATGGAAGTGATCTAATTGAGCACAAATTGCCACTAGTGATTAAGGGTGGTAATTCAACTTCATTTTACTCAGAGTGGACCCATTGAAATTAATAAACATGACAGAGCTAACTATCATAATTTCAGTGGGTCTGCTCTGAGTAAGATTTAGTTGACTACCACCCTCAAAATATTGGGTCTGGGGACTGGAGCCTATGTTGCTAGAGAGCAATGGACCTCTTTCATTGCTAGTGTTCAGTCCTCAAAGTTATGAAGTACTAGAAAATAAGAATGGTTGTGGATTTATGCAGAAGAGCTTTTCTTTCAGTATGAAGTAATGGCAACCAGGTGACACTCTGTACAGCAGGGATGGGGACCAAGTGGCCCCCTACATGCTGTTGGACTCTGGCTGTTGACTATGCTAGCCAGCACTGTGATGGCTGGAGCTGATGGAACTCGTAGTCCAAAATGCCTGAAGGGAACTTGGTGTGCAAAGTAGTACCTTCGTCTCTCCGTGAATAGTTTGTCGCAGTGTTGTGATTTGGATAAAATATCAGTATTGGAGAGCCGTTAATGTGAGAGGGTATATCTATGCTAAACGCCTGTCTGAGGAATATATTTTCGTTTCAAGAGGCTATTGAGAACCGAAATCCCTGGCTTCCCACCCTTCCCCTATAATGGATAAATATTTCTGCACTCTAAGGGAAAAGAAATTGCTTCCTTCAGTTCCGTGTTGCCATTTTCTCTGAGCTTATAACATAATGTTTGAAAATATCAAGGTAGCACTCCACCATCTGGATATAATACTGACAGCAGCTGTGTTTGTAGCTAGATGAGGCAGATGTGCAAAGTGTAGAAGGGGAAGCTGAGGCAGAGAGAGGAGCATTGTCTTAACTGAGAATACTTGTAAATGATTGCATTCCACTATGATTATGACCCTTTTCTGGGACTTTTCTTGTCTGTTTGACTCTTGGACATGGGTTGTCAGTTTGTCAATTAATATTAAGTCGCAGAGTTGTGTGATTCATATCTCAAACAAGTATGTATTTAGAGTCTTCCAATACCTTGCAATGATAAGCCATGTAGCAGTCATCAGGTGAGTAATGAGATTGAGA